GGGGTCACCCCAGGTGCAGCTCCCAAACGCTGGGGGGGATGGGTGGGTGCCCCCCCGCTGCCTTTGCTGGGTTTTTCTTGGTGCCCTCTTGCAGGGAGCTGATGGGAGGAAAGCATGTGAATTCGTTAAAATTAACTGGCGGTGAAAGCTATTAATAATTAAGCGCCTACTGTCAGGAAAACAACGGTAGACACAAATAAATGGCCCGGCTTTGTTACTTACAGCTTCTACTATTATTAAAATGGAAGGGATATTAATAATCCCCTCGCCTTTGGTGTTGGGGAGGGTTTGGTCCCAGGAAAGGGCAGCTTCCCATCCGCCCTGTGTCCCGGCCCCACGGCCATGCTGGATGGCTCTGGGAGCTGCCCTGAAGATCCGGGTCGCCTGGGATGGAGCATGTAGGGCAGGGAAGGATGCTGCCTTTGGGATCCCCTTTGGGATTTTCATCCTGCCTGCCCCGTAAGTACGGCAAGCGCCGGGACTCCTGGTTCCATTGCTGGAGATTTTGGGTGATGGGAGATGGGGTAGTAGCGGCTGCTGGTGCTGGGGCAGTGGGGAGCCAGGTCTGGTGTGGGCATCCCGGGGAACCGTGGTGCCAGCATCCCAGAGAGCCGCGGTGCTGCCGCTCGTTAAGCCGATGAGCGGTTTTTTCCCCTCCGTGAGCGCCTGCTGAGCACAGTTTAAACTCGGCGACAACTGCGTGGTAAATGATACGAGGCGATGGGAATGGAAATGAAACATCTGGGGCCCGGCTGGGGAGGGCAGTATTGACGCAGCTGAAGCTGTGAGCATTAAAGGAAAGCAGGCGGAGGGTCTCCGGTGGCATCGAAGCCATTACCGACCCTGGTGTCCTGGGGGACCGCGGCTGTGAGCAGCTTATCCTGGAGGCAGCGGGTCTGCTCCTTCCCTCCTCGTCCAGCAGCCAAGTCCCCTTTTGGTGTCCTGCTGCTGCTCAGATGGACACCTGACACTGACTCCATCCCTGGTCCCTGGCTCCTGTCCTGCACGTCCCTGCGGGCTGGCATGGACGGGTACCCAGTGGGACCCGAGCATCGGTGCAAGGTCGCGTGCATCTTTGCAATCTTGCATCCTCCACCTTCTCAATCGCTGCCGGCAAAGCTCAGGAAACGCGGAACAGGAGGATTACTCCACTCTCTCCCTGCTTCTCCCTCCCGCCACAGGCTCCTACCTGATGGTGAACTCCTCGCAGCACGCCCCGGGCCAGAAAGCTCACCTGCTCTTCCAGGCGCTGAGCGAGAATGACACCCACTGCCTCCAGTTCAGCTACTTCATGTACAGCCGGGATGGCCACAGCCCCGGCACCCTCAGCGCCTATGTCCGGGTGATGGGGGGCCCGGTGGGCAGCGCTGTCTGGAACGCCTCCGGCTCCCACGGCCACCAGTGGCACCAGGCGGAGTTGGCCGTCAGCTTGTTCTGGCCCAGCGAGTACCAGGTGAGCCCTAGTGGACTCCCCCCTCTTGCATGACCCGGACCCTCCCTTGCACGACCTGGACCCCCCCGGCAACGGGTGACCCTCTGTTTGGTGCCGCAGGTCCTCTTCGAGGCGGTGGTCTCCAGCGAGCGCAGGGGCTATCTTGGCTTGGATGATATTTTGCTCTTGAATTATCCGTGCTGTGAGTGTCACGGGATGGGACCCAAGGGTGGGGGACCCCGAAGGGCAGCGGGGTGGTGGGCGCTGCTGAGCTGGGCTGGGCAGCAGGGTTCAGAGCTGGTGCCCATTGGGATGGTCCTGGGGAGAGCTGATGGACTAATGCCATGGCGCAGCCTCGTGGCACCTGGGTGTCCTGTCGTCACCTGGGCTGGCGGAGCTCCATCTCCTGGGTACCTCTGGGGCTCCTTTTTCCATCTCCATCACTGAATTTTTATAAAACCTCAGAGAAATGCAGGCTGAACGTGTGGCCTGAGCATCCCCATTGAGAGGGGCCACCCGAGCTGGTGGGGACCTGAAATCCCAGGCTGTCCCAACACGTTGGCTGTCGGGGTTCACCCCCTATTTCTCCCAGGCTGGGGTAGGAGACCTGCCCCCCTCTATCAACCCCATAGCCTGCATCTGGCGACAGCGCTGCGGGATGCTGGAGGGGAAGGCTGCATCCCTCCCTGGGACACCGGCTGGCTGTACGGGAACGGGAACAAGTTCCTGATTCTGAGCTGGGCTGTGAGGATGGGGATCAAGCCCGTCTGGAGCTCGGCTCCAGCCCTGGCATCCTGGGTGGGTTTTTGGGCTGCGGCGGGATTTTTGCAGCAATGCTACTGCGGGTCCCCTCGGAGCTCGGCTGCTTCGTCACCTCTCGCTTGTGTCCCTCGGCAGCGAAAGCGCCTCATTTCTCCCGCCTGGGCGACGTGGAGGTCAACGCGGGGCAGAACGCCACTTTCCAGTGCGTGGCCGCCGGCAAGGCTGCTGAGGCTGAGCGGTTCCTCATGCAGGTGAGCAACGGCGGTGGTGAAACCAGCATCTCCACCGTCAACCCCGTGTATTGCTTCTGCAACGCCTCCGTGGCTCCCCTTTGGGAGAAGACACTGCTGGGCAGGGGGGAGAAGGGTCATCCCTCCCCCTTTTAAGCAGACATCATTTGGGGACATGTTCGGTGGCTCTGGATGTCACGCCGTGCCTCCTGGTAACGTCTTGTCTCTCCCCGTGGGGCAGAGGCAGAGCGGCGAGGTGGTCCCTGCCGCCTCCGTGAAGCACATCAGCCACCGGCGCTTCCTGGCCACCTTCCAGCTGGACGAGGTGTCCAAGGAGGAGCAGGACCTGTACCGCTGCGTCACCCAGTCCAGCCGTGGCTCGGGCGTCTCCAACTTCGCCGAGCTCATTGTGAAAGGTGAGTGACTCGCTGTTGCCCGCCGGGTTTCTGGGTGATGGACGGGCTATTTCTGCTCCGCTGTTTGCAGAGGAAGAGGAAGGTGGGATGCTTGGGGCGGTGGGATCGTAGTTTCTTGCTGGGAATGAGTTGCTATGCACGGATGGTTCAACATAAAACCAGGAAACTACCTTTCCTGGTGGCCTTAGATCATTTATTTCCGATTGCAGTAGGTGGGAATTAATTAATTATGGTGAAACTGTGCAGCACCATGCTGGGCAGTGTATCTTATAAAGATAATTAAGGTTTGATCAGATGAAACCCTACTGCAGCTGTTAAAGCCTCGCTAAAAGTGATGGAGGGCATGTGTGCAGGCTGAAGTTTAAAGACCGGATGGTGCCCTCCTATACTTTGGTGTCAATCCTCACGTCCTCTGGGTGGGGGATCCGAGTTTGTCCCATGCCCCGCAGTCCGAAGATGATGGGGTTGTTTGAGAAGAGGTGTTGTGAATGTCTCGACTGTAGCTAGTAGAAAAAGAAAAAAAAAAATAGTGGTACCTGTGGCTGTGCCGGTGTGGCCCTGGCTCCAGGGCTGGGGATGCTGTGGAGCTGCTTCTGGAGGGGGATGCTCCACCTGCCCCATCTCTGCTCTCTTCCAGAGCCCCCCACGCCCATTGCACCCCCCCAACTGCTCCGGGCCGGCTCCACCTACCTCATCATCCAGCTCAACACCAACTCCATCATCGGGGACGGCCCCATTGTGCGCAAGGAGATCGAGTACCGCATGACCTCGGGGCCCTGGTCAGAGGTCCACGCTGTCAACATGCAGACCTACAAGCTCTGGCACCTGGATCCGGACACGGAGTACGAGATCAGTGTCCTGCTCACCCGACCTGGCGAGGGGGGCACCGGCAAACCGGGGCCGCCCCTCATCAGCCGCACCAAGTGTGCAGGTGGGTCCCATGCTGCATCCCCGCCACCCCGGGTAGGTGGCCTTGGGCAAAGGTCCCCTGCCACCATGAGCCTTGGGGAGCGTGGTTGGGGCTGGATGGGTGCCGAAGGCATTTGCCGCTGCAGTCCAGGAGCTTGGAGCATCGCTCATGGACATGAGGAAAAATGTCTTTACTGAAAGAGTGGTTAAACATTGGAACAGGCTGCCCAGGGAAGTGGTTGAGTCACCATCCCTGGAGGTATTTAAAAGATGGGTAGATGAGGCGCTTCGGGACGTGGTTTAGTGGGCCTGGGGGTGTTGGGTCGACCGTTGGACTCGATGATTTTAGAGGTCTTTTCCAACCTTAATGATTCTATGATTCTGTGATTCTTCTGACAGATCCGCCTTTAATTGACTTTTTAGCGGCTGTGCGCAGCACCTCGGGAGGGATCGCTAATTAAACCCATGTTGTGATCATGGCTGGAGGGTAGCAGGGTGTACGAGCGAGGCTGGATCTTGAGCCAACGCAATCAGCCTGTGCAGAGGGGCTGAATATCTGTCCAGTCTGAAAATGCCCTGACGGACGGCGGGTTTTTGCTGATCAGAGTCAACAGTAGCCAGGCGTGACCTCGGTGCAGGAAGGCACAGTAACGGGATGCAGAGAGTTAGCAGCTGCCTCGTGGCTGGTTTCCATCCCTGGAGCCGGGCAAACGCCGGCAGGAGACGGCTACTCCCCCTCCGCCGGGGCTGTGGGCTCAGGGCTGGACCCAGCTCAGGGCATCCCCAAACCTCGGGACCGCGGTCCCTGAGGATGAGCCCCTTGGCTGTCCCTAGCGAGGCTCCCATCTTGTTCCCTCCTCCTCGGAGGGAGCTGTAGATTATTCTCCAGTGCCTGGTTTTGAGTGGTCGGTGCCTCTAAAGACATTTCTTTTAAAATTACCTTAATCCTATGCCACACTGGAGGGGTGGTAGCTTTGGCTGGGGGGGTCGGCTGCCTTCCCACGCACGGTGATGACCTGGGGGTAATTCAGGGCAACCCCATCCCGGCCGAAGCCCCCCTGGGGTGTCGCCAGGGAAGGTAGGAGCTGGGGTTTCTCTCTGCCAAAATGCCCCAACAGAGCCCACGGTGCACCCGTGCTGCCGGTCTGGGGGGTGATGGGGGGGAAGACTTCTCCGGTGCCGTGGGGCTGCAGGGGAGCCTGTTTCCCTCAGGGGAGTCTGACCCCGCATCCCTATGGGGGAGTGACCCGGCCTTGGGGACGTCCCCATCCCCGGCTGCGGTGGGGCTGGTGGCGGCGTTTCAGACTCTCCATGGCAACCGCCTTCCTGATGCCGGTGTTTAACTGCTGGTAATTGAGCAAAGTCGAAGGCAGCGAGACGGCGTGATGGAGGTGCAGGATTGTCACGCCGTGTTCACCCCGAGACCCGGCACCGCCGTGATGCTGGGCTGGGACCCTGCAAAAAAAAAAACCAACAAAACCCAACCCAACGAAAGTGGAGGTCCGTGCTGCTGAACTGGGAACGAGCTGGGAGCATCACCCT